GCATTCCTCCTCCTCCTCCTCCTTTTGCTTATCATGGAGAGGTCTCCTAGAAAACATTACATGGTTGGATATTCATTGTTCAAGTTGTGAAAAATGAAGAAACCTTATACCAAAAACAATGCCTGACCTTTGTCACCCTTCTGTCCTTTGGGTCCCTGAGGTCCACTGAAGCCTGGATCACCTGTACACAGACAGAAGACAGTACGCACTCTGCAAAAATCTTGAAGGTTGAGGCAGGAGGTCTGAACCATGTTCATTTTTCAAATTTTTGTTTGGTCTTAATTTCTAAAAAAAGATGCGTCTCTGTTGTGGGACTGGACTGATCACTCCTGACAAGTGGACAATCCCTGTTCCATCCAATGGCCTGTAGCACCCTTTTCGTCCATTTTGGTCCTGAGGAGTTCAGACATGAACCAAGACAGACCAGGCATAGCAAGCATGAAGAATGTTTACTGTTTGATGGAGCTGGTTCACTTGCTTTGACACAGGAAACTGTCGTAATTGGCTAGCACCACAGACAGAACTTGATCAAACCCTACAGAAATTGCTGCCATGAAGCGAGTCCAGAACTTCAGCTGCTTCTTCTTGAAACCAGGCACCAACACCAGAACTGAAGCACCACCTAAACCATGTAGACTCAACTCCAGTATTTTAAGGCTGAATTAAAACCTAGTCTTAGAACCATGGAGCTCAAACCCGCCTCAACCTTAATATCCGAGTCTGATTTCAACCCTGGATTTGACTTATCTTTGGAGCCTGTACCTTTGTCTCCTTTAATTCCTGGTAATCCCATGTCTCCTTTAGTTCCTGGTCTTCCTGGTTTCCCAGCAATGGCTCCATGACCTGTGAGGAGAAAAGTACTACATGACGTCTTTGTCATTTGTTTTTTATTTAGCTTTTTTTTTTTAGTTAGCTAATTTCTCTTTTACTTCTAATGTACTCCACTACGTCAGTGACATTAGCATGGGACCCAAACAGTTGGCTGTATCCTGGAGGACCTGGTGGTCCAGGTGGTCCCTGTACGATGTGCTCATTGTGATTATGAAGCAGACCGTGTCCTGGAATAGAGCAGCATTAGACAACGTGTCCCAGTGCAACAAGACAGATCAAGGATTTCACATCATATTGGAATTACTTCTGATGTACTCCAGCAACTCTGTGGCATTTCCATATGTTCCAGACCAAGGGCTTTGTCCTGGAGGACCTGGAGGTCCAGGTGGACCTGGAGGTCCCTGGAAGAGTCGGCTGTTGTACTCGTTCACAATATCACGTAGCACACCACCAGCTACAAAATTAACCACAGTGAGTCTTAAACTATTGCCCAACAAAAAATGACGACAAGCAAACAGAGTCAAAAAGCTAATAGCTAAGATGACTGGAAAACAGACCTAATAACAAGGTTTTAAAATTGTGAAAACTAGTTGTGATTTTTTTAAATTATTTTAATTTAAAGGAAAAATTCGTGCAGACTAAGGAGTTGTAAAAGTCTACCAGAAATAATAGAAGAAATTGCAAAATATTTAACAAGGGTTTAAAGTTTCTGCAAAGTAAATAAAAATGTTGGCCCGAGATAGAAAAGTTAGCAGAAAAGTATTTCAGATTTTAAAAAAACCACCAGCTTACATTTGAGATACTCCACCACATCCACAACGCTGTCTCTGGAACTGATCCACTGGCTGTGTCCAGGTCTGCCTGGAGGTCCAGGAGGTCCTGGAGGACCTTGAAGAACTCGACTGGAGTCTCTTGTTACCTCTTTTTAGCTACCATGGGCTGGATGTAGAAGAGAGTAGAAGTTTTTCTTGAATATAGAATAGATTTTGCCATTTTGTTAAAAACAAACAAACAACCTAAGACTCCAACCCTTAAAGGAATTAGAGATGACAAACACATATGTAGAATTGTTGACATACATTTTACCTTGTGAGTTTTATCTTGAGTTTACAAAAATGAGAGTGATGCTGATAATAATAATAATAATAAAAACTTTGTTAATGCGCAATAATTAAGCTTTGTTAATTTAGTTACAGTTAACGTGATAATAACATGTTGAGTTACACAGCCCTAATATATATATTTATTTCTCTGTGATCCAGTACCAAACAACTCGCATCCATTTCATCACTGTTTACTGGGGATATTTTTAAATGTATGTTATTATCTTGCTGTCCTGATCTGACCTGAATCACACAGGATCCCGTGCTCTTCAGTTTGAGAATCACAAGGGGTTACCACAGCAGATAAATTAAACTTACGCATGAAATGTTCTTGTTGTTTAGCTACGAGCGACTCTTCTTCAGCCTGGCCTAGGCTACCTTTGAAGGAGACACCTAGAGGAGAACAGGAGAATGATTTTTGGTTCCTGCGAAGTAGAAAAGACTTCACAAATTGACTCCTTCCATACTCACTCTGGATGTAGTCACGAATGTCTGGGCTGATGTAGTTCAAATCTCCTGGTGGGCCTTGAGGTCCTGCTCTTCCAGGTGGTCCCTGTGGACCCGGCAATCCTGGAGGTCCGGGGGGCCCCTGAGGGCCCTGAGCAGTTTGATATCCAGCTGGTTAAACAATGAAAAGAAAAGTAGTGTTTAATTCACAAAATTCTGATATTAAATAATTCACTTTTTTTTCTTTTTTTTTTTTTGAAATAATACAGCTTGATGAAAAGTGTGTTTCTGTTTTACTTGTAAACAAGTTTCCAGGAAGACCAGGTGGTCCGGGGGGTCCAGGAGGTCCAGGGACATTCAACACCCCCATATCTGCAGATTCAAAGGACAACGGTCACTGCTGGTTTTCTTCTCTACAGTGCCTGTACCAGTCGTTGTTGACAGACAGGAATTGTTACCATTCATGAGACTGAGCACTTTTTCAGCGATGTCCTGGGGGTGCTGGTTGTAGTAGTGGCTTGGATCTCCACTTCTGGGAGTTCCTGAAGAACCTGGAGTTCCAGGTAGACCAGGAGGACCTGGGGGACCAGCTACAAATCTCCTCACATCGTCTCCTAAAAATTAAAAAAAAAAACAGAACCACAATCTCAATAATTCAAGGTAAAACCAATTGTATTGATGAGAAAATTAATGTGATTTTAAGCTCCCTCTAGTGGGACTGACGTTGTAACAGGTTGATGATGTCATTGACAGAGACAGCACCAGGAGGACCTGGAGGACCTGGGGGTCCAGGAGTTCCATCGTAGCCTCGTCCTGAACCTGAGTACACAAGGTAAGGTTTGTACAAATCTTTCCAACACGGTTATGAATGAAAACGTTTCAGATTCTCCAATTACTTTGAATGTAAGCTAAGACTCGATTCGCCACATCATCCACCCCCCCGTTTCCTGGAGAACCTGGAGCTCCTGGAGGACCAGGAGGCCCAGGAGGGCCAGCCAGATAATCCCTGATTGGACCACCTGCGTGATAAGACAAAGTTGATTTGCACCACTGATCAGGAGACTCTGTTAATCAAAGAAAATGACGCTCAGCTTACTCTGCAGGTACTCAGCTACGTACTGGCCCACATCGTCCCTACTACTTGGACCAGGAACGTGAGAACCACCTGATGAAACCAAATGCAGGTCTATTAACAAATGACGTTGTTATTATTGTACTATAGAAGTACAACGTCACCGGCTGATGACACTCTTGCAGAAAACCGGTTACACATTCAGTTGAATTTACTCTTAATTAGACAAAAAAAAAAAAGTCAAATGTGCGTGGAATGCTGAAGAAGCCAGCTGATGTAGAAGGATCCATTTGTTGTAAATGATCCATATTATAAGCGACACAATCAACATGTTAAAATTATTAAACATGAATAGTAGGTGGCGCTTTGGCCCAGAGGCAATGTCTTTGTCATTGGTGTGGAACCCCAGGGTTCACCTCCTGGGCAAGATCGAATCCCAGTTAGGGCGGTTGGTACCTTCCAGTGGACTCACCACCTGCAGGAAGGTTTAGGGGGGCTTGGTACGGTGCAGCGTGATTTGGGTGGCGACCCGGTAATGGATAAGCGGATGAAAATGGATGGATGAATAGTAGGTTCTCACCATTAGAGGGCGGTCCTGGGACACCTGGAACTCCGGGACGTCCTGGATCACCTGAATTGTGGACGCGAACACACACAGTAGTGTGAAAAGTTACGCAGGTGCAATGGAGTGTTTACGATGAAGTTCTGATGAAGAGCTTAAATGTTAGAATGGATGGTGTAGCTCTAAAATGAGATACAGCTTCTATTTCTGAATCATTTATTAATTACCTATTGACTGTTGTCAGTATTGGATGCAGTGCTGTGCAAAAGTTCAAGGCAGTGGAAAACATTTATGATTTCACATTTTCTTTTTTTTTCTTTTTTTTTATCTACTGCGTTAAAAGGTCTTTACCTTTGTGTCCTTGGGGACCGTGGGGTCCTGGAGATCCAGGCTGGCCTGGGAAACCTGGAAAGTGCAGAAAACACAGACAGTGATTAATATGATGGTACAATTTTATTTTTAAATGCCATGAGAGGTCACCAAGGGATCTGTGGAAAATTATCAAATTTCTTAAAAATTGACTGCAAAAAAAAAAAAAAACCCTGGCAAGCAGAGCATTGGCACAGAGGCTCAGTCTCAGAATTATAAATAAAACAATTTTTAATCACATCAACAACTACTTCGTCTAAACAATACAGTTTGGTTGGACTGGGATTCAACACAAACATATTTGTTCTGTCAAAGTCCAGACAAGTTCCTTTTATATCCTACACCAGGAATTGATAGATGAAACACAGTGGACTTTGAGCCGGGGAGCAAAAAACAAAGAACCAAAAAAAGGAAAAGCTCACTTTACTAACGCTGTCAAAGGAGTTCACTTACCAACACCTGGTTCTCCTGGAAGACCTGGTTGACCTGGTTCACCTGAAACCGTTCAGATGAGGTTTAAAAAAACAAAATCAAACTACAATCATCTGTTTGCAGCTTTTATTCAGATTTTTTACCTTGATAACCTCGGGGTCCTCTGTCACCTGAGATTAAGAAAAACAACTTCATATTAGCATTTGTCCTGAGATCAGCTATGTTGCAAGGGATTCATATTGGTGACTTCCCCGATGGTCTTCAATTCATTTTTCCAAACCTAAGATATATTTTAGGTCTTCCTAATGTAGTGGCCCACCTGGTAAACCCTGGACTCCCTTTGGTCCTGGGGGTCCAGGTGGTCCAGCAAAGAAGGTTTCTAAAGAACAGTATGATGTTTATTAGTTGACAAACGTGACCTGTACTGGTGGAAAATGAAGATGTTCTTTCACCAACCTGACGTAGGCACAAAGCTGCCAGGTTCCCCTTTCTCTCCCGGGGGTCCAGGGAAGCCCACACCTGCAAATTTAAGCCTATTTGAATTATCTGATTATTTTTGACCTTGTTCAGAAGTAACATTTCTTCCTTCATTGTTGATGGTTACCTGGTTCTCCTGGAGGCCCTCTGCGACCTGGAGATCCTTGTTTACCTTCACCTAAACAACAGCGACATTTGATTTAAAAAACCAACATTGGTTCTAAAAACTTTTATCCAACTCAAAACTAGCGACAGACTCACCAGAAGGCCCCTGAGGACCCTGGGGTCCAGGAGGACCTGGAGGTCCTGGTGGACCAGGCCAACCACCTACTGAGGAAGTTTGTGAAAAAATGAAAAACATTGTGATTCTCCTCCACCATTAGAGGCAACACCATAAGAAATGGACATAGTCCATGAAGTTTGATGTCAAATGTTCTGCCAACAAGGTGGGAATATTTGAATTTACCAGACGTGTAATTATTCATTAAGATTAAAAATCCAATGACTTTAGATTTACTTTACCAGGGTGTGGGTCTGGTTTCACGTATTTCTTATAGACGGTCTTTGCTCAGTGAAGAGAAAAACTTACGACCAGATCTGGGCCCACTGACGGGTTCAGAACTTGAGATGCTGATACCAGGTTCACCAGCCTTTCCTGGTGCTCCTCTCTCTCCCTGTTCTCCCTTCTCTCCTTGTGCTCCTTTAGGACCTAAAAAGGTGTAAGAGAGTGAACTGTCAGAGAAGCAGCGGACCAACGTCCTCCGAATGAATCCATTTGAGCGCTTGTAAGGTGTAGAAAGATTCAGGATTTACCAGGTTGTCCTGGGATACCAGCAGGACCGATAGGACCAGACAAACCTGGGGATCCAGCAGGTCCAGGGGCCCCAGCAGGCCCTGGAGCGCCAGGGATTGCCACAGTGTCAGAGCCACCTGAGAAGAACCCAGGAACGATGAGAGGTAGAACACACACAAAAACCTGAGGTGGACTGGTGTGAGGCAGAAGTTCTCACCTGTACTGATGACTTTTCCAGGTAGACCAGGTTCTCCTGAAACACAAGAGTCACCACAGCTGATGGAGGAGTATGATTTGGATCAGTGTTAAATGTAAAACAGGAAGTGGAAAGAATGTCAGGCCAGGATGCTCACTGTCTACAGTATATACGTAAATATGGTAGAAAAGTCTACCATATATATATATATATTAAAAATATATTTTGATTTGAGATGTTATGCCTTTTCCTTGTTCTTTCCCAAATGCAGCTAATGCACAATTCCTGTTTAACCCCTCGTTTTCCAGGAAGACAATGAGAAAAATACCTTTAGCTCCAGGTTGTCCAGGATTTCCAGCAACACCTGTTCAACAGAGAACAGTTGTAACACGGATGACTGATATTATAGGCCCGATGTTAGCATAATTATGTAATATCTGTAAATATCATTATTGTTTTTTTTCCCTCCGATAATGAAAACCGATAACACAATGCCTGGATTTCGCAAAATGATGTGTGCCCTAGAAATAGTTCTGGAGATAAAATGCTGTATATTAAAGTGAAAGTCACTAGATGGCAGCATTGCAGCTCATTTAATTAATCTCATACTTATACACTGGTTTGTACAGATAAATAAATAAATATTACCAGTATCGTTGATGTCGGAATCAGAAATTAAGTGTTAATATCGGCATATCGGATATCAGCAAAAAGTTAATATTTGACATCTATAATTGTAACTCATTCTATCATCAGGCAGTAAACTGTTGGTGTGTTTTTATCCTTGTTATCACACCTGGAGGTCCTTGCAGTCCTGGAATGCCTGAAGGAAAACCAATAAAATAGTTTAGTCACTGTCTTAGTAAACATAGAAAAAAAACAACATTTTATCAAAATCTTTTTAAGGAAAAAAAAAACAACATTTTATCAAAATCTCTTTAAGATTGTATTATTTTAACATTCGGTACGTATATCAAAATTGATACCTGGTGAACCAGTATCTCCAGGATGTCCAGGTGGTCCTCTAACACCAGGCTGACCCATTGATCCGGTGTCTCCTACAGATGACACACAAATCCATCCAAGTTGTCATTTCTGCACCTGGTACCGATCTGGACTAATGTGTCCAACGTGACGTGGACATCTGTCAGTAGGTCCTCCAGCTCTGAACCAAAGTACCTTCACTGGACTTTCACATGGGTGAGTTCCTGCCATAGTACTCTACACTTCCTTCACCTTAGTAGAACTGGCATGTTAACACATATTAACAGATAAAGCAGCGGTTCCCAACCCTGTTTTGGCTCCATTTTAACCCCATTTTGACATCACAAATATCTATTTTTGTCATGTTTGTTTTACTCTGTTGCACATACAGAGTAGCCAGATTAGTGCACAGAGTGTGTGGTGTCTTTAATCATAATTTAAAAAAGAATAATTCTTGAAAAATATTTTCAGGCTCTATGTAATGTTTCATGTTTCCTTTTTTACTTCCTTTGTCCTTCCAAGCTCCCTGTCTGTTTGTAGTCTTTTCTTACTTCCTGTCTTTGTCTCCTGTTGATCAGGCTGCTAATGTGCTCCACCTGTGACCACTCCACCCTTGTATTATATTATTTTTTTTTAAAAAGCCCTGTGTGTCTCCTCTGTGTTGTTTTTCTACCTTGTGCTCAGCTGGATCTCAAACCTGTGACGTTGATGTTCAGAAATCAGGACATCACCATCCTCCTCACCCCTTCCTCCTCACCCCTTCCTTACCTGACATTCCTTTTGATCCTTTCGGTCCTGCAGGCCCGGTGAGTCCAACTGGTCCAGGTTCACCTTAGAAGCATGAAAAACAATAATTTGCCTGTTTTGTTTGAACTTGGAAAATTACAAACATTTAGCTGTTTTTGTCTAAATTTTCTATTTTGCATGTAACACCAAATTTGTTGGTTTTACAAACATTAATGTAAAGACAAACCTGCAAGTCCACGTGGTCCCCTCTCACCCTGGTCTCCTTTGGTTCCCGAAACGCCCGGACTTCCTCTGTCACCTGAAGTAAACACAGAGGAAATTCTGTCAGGAGTTTATTACTTTTTATCAAAGCTTCCGCCATTAAAATATTCACTTTTTAAATGTTTCAGTGTTTTCTTTTTTTTCTTTTTTTTTTTTATGGGAATTTAGTCCACTGATTCCCAACCACTGTGCTGTGGAAAATTATCCAATTTCACTTAATTGGGCTGAAAACTATTATTTCTCTATTGCATTTAAGGCAGAACAATTAAATACTCTTCTGCTAGGTGGCAGCAGATGGCTATGAAAACTAAAAAACAAACAAAGATCTTTGTGAGTGTCTTTCTTTAATTCCTAAAGGTATATCAGTGTTGTCTTCAACTAAACAGGCCAAGATTTTAGTCAATTAAGAGGTCTTTCAAACTAGAAGATATATATATATATAGATATAAAATAAATACACACACATATATATACAGTATGTGGCTCAAATACGATTGGGAAACACTGATTCAGTCATCTGTAAACTGCAAATGTCAAATTTTAAGTAATTTTCACGCTTTTTATTTTTTACTCCATAGTGGCTTTTTTTTGGTCTATTCTTAATGATCGTTTGCCTCCTTTTTTTTTGAAATTGAGAAAAATATACAGTAGTTTTGAAATATACATTGGACCTTTGGTGTTGTGTATTTTTTGTTTATTTCAGTTTTGGATTCTTGGTATTTAGTCCATGTTGATGTCCTGCGTATAAAAACATTGACCTCTGTCATAGTTGTATACCGGGTATGTACAGCTATATGTTCAAACATCCAAATGAGGAATAACTGGTACCTTTGGCTCCTGGAGCTCCTGCTTCACCTTGGTAACCTTTTTGACCAGGAGTGCCTGGGGATAGAAAAACAACAGAATAATTTAAATTCAGAATTGAATAAATATTTATGGAAAAAAAACATGTAAGAAAGTCCAGTTTCAAAAAGTTAGAAAACACAAGATCCGTACCCGGGTTTCCTGAGGCGCCGTTCTGTCCTTTCTCACCTACAGCAAATGGGTGAAATGTAAAATGAGGGGGGGGGGAGTTGTTTTTTTACTGCTGTCTGTCTACAGCAGACTGATTTAATAGTGAACCCACTGAACCCTTTAGTTTCTCTGATCAATTCTTCAGCCATGATAGATAGTGTCATAACTGTCAGCAGTATGTACGGTATGCGCCCTCAGAGAAAGTTCTAGTGTAATTTGTAGTGACGATAAATTCCATAATAAATGTAGTTCTTCAGCTCACGCAGCAGTCTAACAAAATTTGGCCAAATAAGTTTAAAAATAAAATATAGATTTTTATAATAAAATATAAATGAATAAAAATATAAAACCTTGCAATCATACCACGGGTGGAAATGGTGTGGAATCAAAGTCAAATGTCATTTAGTCAAGTCAATTTATATCTGAGTATTTGGAACGTTACCTTTTGGCCCAATGGGTCCAGCAAGACCAGGAGAACCTGAACGTCCAGGCTCCCCTGGAGATCCTGTGGAAATCAGAGTTTGTTGAAGAAAAACAGTTTGAAAAAGCAAGTACAATAAAGTGGTTTAAAAAAAAATCTTCTACCTTTTTCTCCTTTCTCTCCAAACCCAGGGAGTCCAGCTTCTCCACGAGGGCCAATCTGCCCATCACGGCCCCTCTGTCCTGGGGGCCCCTCAGGACCGTGGTCTCCTGTAAACAGGAGAAGAAGAATCCTGGTCTAAGACTCTGTGGGATCCAGCAGCCAAAGAAAAAAAACAAAAAGCTGGACGTTACCTGCACTTCCCTTTGGCCCTCGTCCTCCTTCCAGTCCAGGATGACCCATCTGACCTGGAGGACCTGCAGAAATGAGACGCGTGAGAAGGACGAGGTTGGACTTTCACAGGGTGGTCAGCAGGTAGGAAAATGTGTTTATGTCTCAGACTTTAGCCTCAACTTTGTCTTTCACTTCAACATACTGTTCCCAGACGAATAAAACTAAAGTACATGGTGTACACAAGTTTTATGTCTCAGACTTTAGCCTCAACTTCGTCTTTCATTTCAACATACTGTACACTTGTGTACACATGGTGTACACAAGTGTGTCCATGCAAGACATCCAACATGTACTTGAGAAATAATTGAAAAATAATAATTCATATTTTTGCTTGCGTTCCAATTGTTGGTTTTAAATGGCACAAACTAAGGTCCAAACTGAGATGTGTACCAGAGAGTAGGCACTGAAACTGGAGCAACTTACCAGGTAGACCAGGAAATCCACTGTCACCTGAGAAAAAATGTTTTTTTTTGTCAATTGGTCAAGAAAAACTTTTTGTTGTAAGTTATTATTATTATTATTACATGAAGTAATCAATTAAATCAATTAACCCATAAAATGATTAGATCATAATGGGAAGTCCAAGACTAGTTTCTGTCAATATAAATATATTTTATAACCTACCTTTTGGTCCTATTGCTCCAGGGTCACCTAGAAAGAATCAGATGTCTTTATTTTTTTAAATCAATATTAAAGTAACATTTTCTGGTTGGTAAATTTTAAAATCCAACCTTTAGGTCCTGGCTCTCCTCGCTCTCCTTTAAGACTGTGTGCAAGTGAATCTGTAAAAGAAAGACCACAAATGTGTCATCAACGTAAACAGCTAATGGTTAGCAAACATAGAAGCTAACAGACGTCAGCGAGTGCCTCGGAAAGTATCTGAGCGGAGTTCAGCTCTGAGGAGCTGCTGGACGGTTCTCTGCAGAGCAGCACTGTCCGGCCTGGGTCCACTCCCTCCACCTCCTCCTGCTGCAGCAGAGCCCAGGTTGATGGTGTTGTCAGAGTGGGTCAAAGTGGACCCAGCAGAACTCTTCTCAATGTAGGACGAATCCAGCGGGTCGATGATGTTGATTCCAGAAGACAAACGACTGGATGTGGCTGAAGCTGTGGCGGCACCGGCCTCTAGAGCATCGACGCGGTTCTTAAGCCTTTTCACTTCTTCACCTGAGGACCGTAAAGAGAAGAGGATGAGCTTGTGAAGGTCAACTCTCCTGAGCCTCAGATAGAGTTCTCCTGTCCCACCTAGGGCGATCAGCCCAAAGAGGAGACCGAGGAGGAGGAGGAGGCCCAGCAGGAGGCCCAGCAGCCACTTCCACCAGCTGCAGCAGGAGCAGAAACCAAAGCCGGACCTGTCCTTCTGGATCTCTGAAAAGGAGACACGTCTGGATTAGAGAACAAAGAAGAAAATGAACTGTGACGAACCATCGAAAGGAGCTAAATTAAGATGCCCAATGTCGAATTGTTGGGAAATCGGCTTTCGCTTAAAATATAGTAAGTAAAAAGTATAAAAAGTCCAAACCCCCTCCACTCCACCTCTCTAACTTCAGTTAAACTTAATTTAATTAAATGTAAAGAACAATTAACCTGATAATGTACAGTGAGTGTTTTTGAGGTTATTTTAACTGACAGTTCTATGCTCAGTGACTGGTACCTGCGTACGTGGCTTTGTCCTTTGTTGCTGCCTTCAGATAGGAAGCTTAAAAAAACAAAAAAACACAGTAATCAGGTCACATGACCAACAGGAAGTGTACTGCGTGGTGCGCTGATGTATGTGCACGTGTTGAAGGTCAAGTCTACATTGAACGTCTGCTCCTTCATCCACCGTGCTGGAGGACAGCTTCTGTTTCTCCCTCTTCAGTGAGTCCTCAGAGTAGGTCACTGAAACGAGACACCGAATCACGTCGCCTGAATGGTTTCCACGCACTTGATCCCTGTATCAGTTGTTTTTGATTATTACCAGCAGGGGCAGCAGACATGAATTGCTTCCCAGTGTCTTTGGTCGTGACCAGCCTCTCGGTCTCCTTCTTGACCGGAGCGTTGTCCTTCTCGATCATCACAAACTTGAAGTCTTTGCCTGAAGCTTCATCGGTGCTTGGACTGCTGGGCCTCACTGTGAGGAAAACACAAACACCAACACGACTACTGACACTGCTGCGGTCACTAACCATGGGCTCTATATCAAAAATGGAGGTAGTTTTTGTGCTACGCTAGCAGATGGGAAGTGAACTGAAAAACGTTTGTTGGTTCAGGTTAGGCGTAGGCAAAGTTTTTGACTGAGGTAAAAACGTTTGTTGGTTCAGGTTAGGCAAAGTTTTTGACTGAGGTAAATGACATGTAAAAGTCATGCATAAAGGCTAAAACGCTTAAATGCTTTTATCATATTCTACGCCATCTATTGGGGAGACGTGGGTATCGCAGGGAAAAGGCAGAAGTATAATGATAATATAAATAAATTATATAATTTGAAAAAGTTTGGCGGGCCGGATTAAGAAGCTGAACGGGTTGGTCAAATCCAGACCTATATTTAAATCCCAGGCAGCACCTGTGGTCTTCCTGGTCTCACCTGAGGTTGTGGTCGCTCCAGTTCCAGACACATTTTTCTGCACACCATACACTGTAGGAAAACAACACCCTATAAAAACTCATATTCACATTGTTGTCGCTGAGGTGTAATCACTGGTATGGTTTACCGATCTGACTGTTGACTCCTGTGGGGGAGGAAACGGTGGCGCTGCTGCTGCTGATCAGGTTATTCTGCACGCCATACACTGGAACTGAGACACAGAGAGACGAACAAGGATGTTTATTCCTAACATTTTTCCTAACAACGGATGACCCACTGACACTGTGACTAAAATGTATGGCCAGCGTGTCATTTTTTACCAACTGCTGCTGGTGGTCATGGACTAGTTCAAATGTTTGAAGACATTTTGACCTGAACTCCCACCACTCAGTGAGTCTGGTCGACAGAGTGTGGAGGCGGTGAAAATTCAGTGAATTAAGAGCAGAGGAGCAGAGTTTCTCACCAGAGCTGCTGGCAGAGATGCTGCTGCTGACGTAAGGAGAGCTGAGAGTCAGGTTGTTCTGCGGTCCTGCACAGAACAGACACAGAGAAGAAGACAGTCGCAGTACCACAGCAGTCATTGGCTGATGGAGTTTTGACATCATCTACAGTTTGAATCTTGAAGTGTATTGTTAACTCTGTAATGTTTTAATAATATAATAATAATATATGTTGACGTCTGTTTTTGCTTATCACTGACCTGACTGGTAGAGGGTGGAGCTGGTAGACACATTATTAGGGTTGGTGCTGTAACTGTAGCTATTGGTCACTCCTCCAGACCAGATGCTGCCATAGTGGTCTGTAAGAGAGTACGTTCAAATCGTACAGATCTATGACTTGAAAAAGTCAAGACAGACATTGGAGCTAACGTTTAGCTACAGCAATCCTGGTACAAACACAAGTGCTAACGTTAGCTACAACAGCCCTGTTGAAGACAAGCTAACGTTAGCTACAACAGCCCTGTTGCAGACAATAGCGCTAATGTTAACTATAACAGTCCTCGCACAGACACTTGAGCAAACATTAGCTACAACAGTGCTGGTATAAACACCAAAGCTAATGTTTAGCTACAACAGTCCCTGGTACAGACAAACAGTGTATATTATTGGTCTTTAACGTCACCTAGTCGTCTAGTCACTGATTCTGTCTACAACATCATATTTATTTGAATTGTAAACACTTATTGTGTCAAATATTGCTCTATGCTACTATTATTACTTATTCCGATAACCTAGGTACAGAGTGTGTTGTTGATGAGATGGGATTTTTCATCTTCTTCTATCACTAGTAAAAAGTGAACAAATGACAGAATCTGACGTTTGACTTCTTCCTCATTTCGTAGCATTTCTTTGAGCCTTTAGATGTAATCAGTCTGCTGAGAACAACAGACTGAGACAGTATGGACGTTAGGCGTCCTCAGATCCTGTACAGCTGACATGACATGGACCTGCGTTGCTGGAGTTCTCAGACATGCTCCTGGCCTCCACGCTGGCCTTCCTGGGGATGGGCAGTGTGTTGTTGGGAGACTGTGTGGGGCTGGTGCTGTTGGACTGGTTCCCTCTGAGCAGACGCTTTACGTCGTCCAGCTCTGTCCCTGTTGGAGTGGACAGAAGGACAACGTTTTCTGATCAGCTCAGTTTTACTGTCACAGTTAGAGAAGAATCTTGTTTCTTTGTTTTTGCTCTGTTTTCAAAGTGAGTCAGGAGAAAAGTCAGAATGATGTCAATACTGACTTTTTAATCCCCATAGTTTTCATTTGGTTTTTATAATATACAGTATATACAACACACACATATATCTATATATGTATATACATACCATATATGTATATATATATATATATAGAGAGAGAGAGAGAGAGAGAAATCAATATACAACCTAAATGTGTGCATGTTTTTGTAATTGTATATATAAAAATATTTAAATGTATGTGTATGTATATGTGTGTATATATAGATGTGTGAGGGTGTATATATGCATAGTTTATTTTTTATTGTACATATATCAACATATACATATGTGTATGTGTTTCTATGTGTATATGAATGTATGTGTACATGTATATATCCAAATTCTGAAAACCTAAAACACCCTGCAGTACCTCACTCGATCCTGTAGGGGTCACGGACCCAATGATAGCCATGCATTGAAGTGTTTAACTTAGTGAATTATTTTGTACAAAATAAAATAAATAAATGTTGTGGTAGTCAAAATAAAACTGTGTGGAGTGGTTTGAATATTCCTCAATTATTAATAAAAATGTATATTTTAATCAAGTGGCGCTTTGGCCCAGAGGCAATGTCTCTGTCATTGGTGTGGAACTCCAGGGTTCACCTCCTGGGCAAGTTCGAATCCCGGTTAGGGCGGTTGGTACCTTCCAGTGGACTCACCACCCGCAGGAAGGTTTGGTACGGTGCAATGTGATTTGGGTGGCGACTGCTGCCCCCGCAACCCGGTAACGGATAAGCGGATGAAAATGGATGGATGGATGGATGGTTTTTATGAAGTACTTTTCCCCTACTTTAAACGTCTACACCTGAATCACTGGTCAAGTTCATATAATATATGTATCAATGACTGACATAACTTTATGGAGTTTATGTCGCTACGGTGTTTGCTGTGGCTCTTCATCAGCTCAGAGTTCTTGGGCTGTGTGTTATATGATGATGATGATGATGATGATGATGATGATGATGATGAAGACGAGTGTCGTACTCACATCTTGTTGTTGTGGGTGAGGCACTCTGAAGTCGGGCTCTGATCTCACTCTCTAACGAAACAACGACCAGCTCAGTAAAGGTTCATTTGAAATTTGAACATCAGCTGTTCAGACAGTGTCCCTCACCTCTGCTGTGTGATCTCCCTCTGGTGGCAGAAGTTGTAGTTGCAGTTGATGTGCCTGCAGGAACATGTTTTTCTCTTGACGTTTCTATCACTGATTGTGCGTTGAATCTTTAAATATCTCAGGCTATTTCAGTTGTGCTGTAATATCTATAAGACCAAGTCTCTGTCATTCAGAATATTTCTGATAGGCAATTCGGTAGAACGAGATCTTACTGTAGTCCTTCCTGTTGTACTCGGGAGATGAGTTTGTGCTTGAACTTTCTGAAACACAGTGACAAAGAAATCACATTAGAATTGACTTGAATTTCTGAAGGTTCTCAGTCGTCCAGGTCCAAGACATCCTTAGAAGTTTAGAAGACGTGAGGTGAACTGGAGTCTCTTAAGGAAAGTTGTTGAAATTCAAAGCATGTTGTTTGAGCAGCATTATTAAAGTTAAACAACTTCGACTTCGACATGTTGTCTTCCATGTTTAGAGAACAAAAAGTGAAACGTCTTTGAGAAACTCCAACATCCACTTGTCCAGCCTCTAAACCTCTAAACATCTTCTGACCACAAACCCTCAGACCAGCAACGGACCGTCAAACACATCAGTGAGAGCAGCTGCCATGGTACTTATGCTCTTCTTGTCTTTAGAAGGAGACAAGGATCCTCTCTTTGGTTCTGCTGATCCCCCTGAGCTGTAGCTGCTCTTTGTGACGGTTGAAACACCGGCACTTTTGCTCTCTCTGCCGACACTGGAGGACCTGCTGGAGGAGGCTCTGAAGCCTAGCCCGCCTTCAGCGGCTCCTACGGTGGTGATGGTGAAGCCTTCATGACCTTTGCTGGTCCCTGAGCCACTGGAGGTTCTGGATGTGACCCCCACAGAGCTGGAGCCTCCTGATGCAGCTCTTCCACCTGAGCCATTTGCAGTTATTAAAATGTCAGCTGCGGGGAGAAATCAAGGCATAAAAATGAGTTTGTGAGAGTGAGATAAAAGTGCTCGTCAAACTCCTGGCTCACACTCGCCGCCAGGCCTGGAGAAGCTGGATGTTTTAGTTTTCTAAGATGTTCTTCTGAGTGCAGACTTGACAAAACTGTCAGATATGATGTTTGACCTTTTAATGAAACACATTCCCCGGGTGAGCTGCAGCTGCCTGTCTGCTTCTGTGTCTGAACAAGTCACCCTCTCACTTTACCTTCTTATCTCAGCACGCTGTGATGGAACTGATTCATGAGTCATATAAGGTCCTGCTCCTGGAACTGTCCAGGGTCATGGACCTGGAGCTTAGGCCATCACTGAAAGTCTTCAGTCACAGTTTAACCATTGATAACCACTGATAACCACTGATAACTATGATAACCATTGATAACCATTGATAACCACTGATAACCACTGATAACTATGATAACCATTGATAACCATTGATAACCACTGATAACCACTGATAACTATGATAACTATGATAACCACGGATAACCACTAACCATTGATAACCACTGATAACCACTGATAACTTAGTTATCAGTTATTAGTAACTAAGCATTTTTATATTTCAAAATATTTTGTTATTGCTAAGCATTTTTATATTTCAAAATATTTCATATTTCATTGAATACATTTCTGCTTCTTTAAGATCATTATACATTTTGAAAAGTTTACACCAATTTTGATATAGTGGTTGGTTCTAATGGTTCTAATCATAAACGTGTTTATGGTTTTATGTTAATGTTAAACCATGTTTTATATTTAGCCATATTTAGCCTAATATTACTTGTCACATAATTTCCTCAGTTTAATTATAAATTAATCCAATACAATTAAATAAAAGATTTTTTTACGTCTTAAATAACATTTTGACATATGGTTAAATTACACAATATGTAACTTAAAAGTTTATGTTTTGAAACATTTGATTTAAGGTGATTTCAGACATTTTTGCTATTTTTAACATTTTGATCACTGACAAGAAAATGTGGTTTACCGAGAATAAAATGGTAAAAGCTGGACAAAACAAAAATCACATTCCAACCAAAGATACCGAGGCAGGTTAGTGGCACATCACATCACAGCAGGTCCTACCTGAGCTTCTCTGTCCTTCACCACCAGAAGAACTGACGGTCCGGACTGTGGTTACCTTTTCCATCGGACGCGGTCTGTCAAAGGGTGAAAAACAGGAATGAAGGAGTTAAAGGAAGTTAGAGATTTGAATGCGTGTGAAGAATTGTCCATGAAGCAGCAGTCCTCTTTGTCTGTGCTCATATTTCTCTGCTGAGCTTCTTAGTGTGAAGGGACTCTTCAAAGTCCAACATGTCGTTCATGTGAGGAGAGGAGTGACAGCAGCTCATTGTTGACCCGATGACTGTCTCTTTTCTCTCACAAAGAAAAACTACTTTAAAGTCAAGCTCTAAAAAAAACACGGATGAAAGAAGTCTGAGGTTTCAGTCTTAGCTGCAGGAGGTGACACCGAATATGGAGCCCACTGTAAACCACACAGCGGACCACAGACCACATACCAGTCTAACCACCATCCAGGTAGACCACCACTCGGACAGACAGACCAGAGTCAGACAGACCACCTTACTGCCATGAGTCCTCCTCAGAGTGAAGGACGGTCCAAAGGATATTCTATTTATGAGCTACATATTTTGGCTAGTATGTTACTAGTGATAGATTTAAGAAAACATTTTTTAATTGGAATCAACTTCTCTGTAAATCAAAGGGTTTTTGCATCGTGTCTCCACAAATCTGGGACACACCTTGTTTTGGTTTCATGCTTTTTTTAATAAGAAAGCAGCAGCCAGAGGGAAGGAGACTCGACTCTTTACAAAGTCAGACTTGACTTTTCTTATGGGACTTGTTTTTACTATCTGGCAGAAAGTCAAGCTGGGCACAGTGTTAACTATGAATAAATGCCTCAGACCACCTGCAACACTTTGGCTAACCTACCTACTGTACCTGTAGGCTAATGTAGCAAACCTGTAACTACACTTTTGGTCACCTCTAAGTTCTAATCTGTAATTCTGCAACACTACTCTCTGCCTGTCATCACAAAAGCCCAGATGGACGTTTTCTATTTGGTTTCTGCGAAAGACAATTGTATGTTTGACGTTACTTTATGAAAAAAGTTTTTATGTGAATTTTAAATGCAATTTCTCTCAGGTCCCTTCTCATTTTAACCCTGATATCAGACGACATCACCATTTCTTTAACAAAGATATGGTACCAAACGATACGATATTAAATGATACATTGCCCTATAATACAATATGATCCGGTACGATACAACATGATATATGTAAACAATACTATATAATATATAATATACTTCATTAATCCTACAGAAAATTCTTATACTATTCATAACCTAAGATTTAAAACATGATCTTTCTGGCATAATTTCAGTGTCAGCACTCACCAACAATGAACCTAGGTCACACTTCTAATGTCAACATAGCTGTAATTGCTATTTGTCAACATGATTCTTCGACTGAGGTTGATGTTATCATAACACGGTGAGAGCCACCACGTAACCTCTGCTCATGCTCTCTATTATTTCCTCAGGAAAAGTTTGACTTACCTCCTATGTCATTTGTGCAAGAATAACTTCCCTCATGCCCCGCTCAGAAATGGAAAACCATCACTTTTCTCCTCTTCACTCAATATCATTAAGTCCAGGTGCAGGGACACTCTGTACCTGGTTTATGTATTAGCTTTGCGTGATTCATAGCGTCAGTGGGCAAGTTTGAACATGGCCAAGTGGGACGAGCCTGGAGCCTGAGTGTATTAGAGATGGGGGGCGGGGGGGGACTAGCCCGGAGGGTATGAGAATGAGAAAGAAAAACATAGGGAGAGTGAATGTGGTCCAAGTATTTGTGTTTATTCACTGCTTTGACTTATTCATAGGTCTGTTTGAGTCGCCGCACCACAGGAATGCAAATATGAAAGGGTGTAAGAGGATGAAGTTTCCTGAATATCAGTGAGAAAGAGAGGGAACAAAGGTCGGTGCTGAGGCAGCCTGAGCTAACAAACCCAAACACAGCGGAAGGAGGCTCAGAAATCCTGCCTAATGGCAAACTGATCACTGATTCACTGCTTTAATTCCTTAGCCCTTCTGTTTGGAGGTTGTATGTCCTCCTTGTGTGTGTGTGTTTGTGGGCGGGGGGTCTTTGGTACTGCAGTTTCGTCCGACAGTCTAAACACATGCAGGATTATGTTAACTATTCACTTTCAAACACAGGGTCTCCAACCTGTGGCTCCTGAGCCACACGCTGCTTGTTGTACAATTAATAAGTGAGTAATGTTGAACGCAGGTCACTCTGTGTGATTGTAGTGAGTGCATCCTACAAAATACTGAATGATATTGTGTTGGTACTGATCCGTGTAGGAACTCGTCTTTAGGTAGACGTCATTGAATTGACTTCACTACTTTCCTACACTGCATCACTGCCATCATTTTAATTATCGTCAAAAGGTTGTCGCCTCTCAACGTTGTAGCCGCATCGTTTTCTTACAGAATAAATTACTTCCAGCCTTACGTTTGAGGGCAGTTTTGTTAGATAGTACAGTACGTTTATTATTTCAAATGCAGTTGTGGACGGGGCCAACTCTTCTGCCCTGCATGAACAGGTCCAGTTGTCTGCCTGCCCCAAACAGCAAATTTAGTGGGCATGTACAGAGCCCCATCTACTGGAGGAGGTGAAACCTGTATAGAATTTTAAAAAAGCCTTATGTGTTTAGCAAAGCAGTGGGATTTATGACCTTATCTTTTGGACTTGTTTTTTTATTTTTATATTATAGTAACCTTCTCTGGGCAGAAAGTCATCTAGGCTGCCATCTGCTGGTAGGGCATTGCTGTAATCCCTCAGTAGGAAAAAGGATAATACAAATAGGGTGACAGGGGGCGACATATGAGTATCTTCAGCCAACACTGACAAAAAAAAAAGTGAGATCACTCAGACATTTAGCTTTGACATTGTTCTGTATTTTTGACACAATGACCAGTTGGATATTTGATATATACTAAATGACAACAAAGTTTTCCACAGTACAACTTTTAATTCTTCCTCCAGCAGGGGGTGGAGGGCAAGATGAGAGGAGAGAAAAGAGAGAGTGGGAGGGCAGGAGCAGATGTAGTAGATCAGGGTAGACTGAAAAAATGGTTACGTACAGACAGCACCCCTCTCTCCAACCCACCCCCTCTTCTTCTTCTTTAAACATTTAGAAAAGAAAAAAATGCAGATTATTGTCAACAAAGTTAAATGTTTTCCCGTTGAACAAAGCAGGAGTACATTCAGATTGGATGAGTCTTTAGAGAAATAAATGTTTTATTTAAATGCCCTACAGTCAAACCTTATGGAATAAAATTGAGTTTTGATGGTAATAGTACATGGTAGCTCTGTTTATATCCTCACACCCTCACACACATCTGAGACAACAGTATGTTTGTTCTTTGCACAGACACAGCTACTTGTCTCTGCCTCCAAACCAAGGTTCCAAGAAATTAGCAAGCTGCGTGCTGAGTCGGACAGACTCTTGCTGGCGGACGATGACCGACTTGAAGTGTTGTGTCTTGTAGACCTCCACCAGTGGGTCGTCTTCCAAGTCTTTCTTGGCAGATGTGGCTGATGGGGGGAGGGGAACACAGATTAGTCACATGATGCTTGTATCAAGCTGAGTCAAAACCCTCAGACTTAAGTATTGTTGATGTGTTTGGTCATCATATCTTTGTCAAGTGTTGAGCTGTGTTGCCTTTGATTCTGGTTTTTATTTAAACCCTAAAATCACAGAAAACGTCCCTTTTTTTTTACCAAACTTGGATGGAAACCTGTTCAAATGACTGAAGCGTCTGATTTTTTCATTTTGACTTAATTTATCATTTTTGCTTAATTCGCATTCACATGACTGAGTATGAATAGAACAGCAAACACGAAGGGTCAAAACTGAATGTGAGCCTATTTGGAGCACAGATGTAATTGTTTTCAGAGTGCAATCAAAAGAGGAAGACAAAATGTGACAAAAAAGGTTTAATTTTTTTTAAGCAAATAAAGAGAATAGGAAAGTCAATATGGCCTAAAAACAAAACAGACGAACTCACTCGGTTCGTCCTTATTGGAACCTGTGAAGTGTCGTAAAGCCAACCAACCGACAAGGGTCCAGACACTAAGACCATAAACCATTGCAGCCATTTTGTTCATCTTGACTGCGTTAACTTGCTTCATTATTCCTTGTTTTTTGGTCGTGTCGTGCTCTAACAACGCTTCAGTCGATAACCAAGGGCGCCGCCATGGCACTTTCACCTTCTTCTTCTTCTTCTACAAGAGAACATCGGGGCTGCGTTACAGCCACCTACTGGACTAAAGAGGGAATGTAAAATTCTGTATCCCATAAACTCGTATCATTGTTAAAGCTTTTTTGAACCGTTTCTCCTGTGTAAAACGCGGGAATTAATATTGATAAAAATTGAAAGATAAAAAAAGTCGCTCATGATTAGTGTATTTGTTTTCCAAGTTCTTCGGTCTCCTAATGTTTGTAGCTTCTCACCCGCGATTCGCCCTCCGAAGCAGAGTGGCGCCAGAGCGTCTTTAACCCAGGTCTATTGACAGTCAAACAAGTGTTGTGTTCCATTTCTGCAGCTAATGAATCAAAACCAAAACAATGAAGGCGATTATTCAGAGGGTAAACAGAGCGTTTGTGACAGGTAAGCTGTTTCTGTGGCCGTTTAAAACATGTCACTTTACAGAGAAGCGCTGCGGACTTCATGCTAATTCACAGTTATGTTAGCCTGAGCTCTCACACTCACGGTCTCTTCTGTATGTCCGCCGTGGACACAGGTGTCCTGCCATTAACGTGTCAACGTTTTTGTGTCCCGCAGTGGGAGAGGAGCAGGTCAGTTCGATTGGACGAGGACTGTGCGTTCTGCTGGGTATTTCTGCAGAGGACACCCAGAGAGATGCAGACTACATGTGAGTCACTCTCATCATGTTTAGGTTCTCTTTGTTTAATACATTTAACAAATACGTGTAATGCAGTTAATATATGTAATAAAACTGGGCGATATGGTCCAAAAGTCATATATCGATGTTGTTCATATACTTCAGTATATGGATATCGTAAGACTAATGTAAGACAGCAGAGACACATACAACAAATTAAACGGTGGTTTTATCATCAAGAAATTATCATGCAATTCATGTTGACAAACCTAACAAACATGGAATTAAACACTTCTGCAAGAGACAGAAGTCACTTAAAATTTTGGTTTGTATTAATTTCTAGCAATCCACAACAGAACACATTTTTTGACTGCTCATATAACACTATCAACTCAAATCACCAACAAAGAAAACAGGTCGCGAGGTTACTTTTAGATAGCTGGTATCTCAACCTGTGTTGGCCTGTTGTCATAGTGAGAGGTGCACGGCGTTGCCAATAGAATATGATTATTTCAAGTAATCATAGTTTGCAAAATAACCTCTTGCAAACTATCGCAGGCATACAATCTGTTCCCTCTCAGGTTCCCCCTAGTGGTATGCTGAGGGCTTTTTTTAATCGATTGACAAACGAGTTGATGTACAACTTATGACAAACTGGTCCCATAGTGGAACTGTTAAAAATAGAATTCAGAACCATGTCCAAGCAGCCCTGCAGGGTGGGCAGAACTGGGAATGTGTATGTGTGATGATATATTTGAATTAAAGTCCTGGTTGATTATGATTCAACTGTTAGTCTTAATGGGTTTTTTATACTATAGTATGACTCATTCAAGTCTTCTAACCTGACCTTCTTTGCACGTTCTCAGGATACGCAAGATCCTGAACCTTCGGCTCTTTGAGGACGAGAATGGCCGAGCGTGGAGTAAAAGTGTGATGGAGCGAGACCTGGAAGTGCTGTGCGTGAGTCAGTTCACTCTTCAGTGTATACTGAAGGGCAACAAGCCGGACTTTCACTCGGCCATGCCGGCTGAGCTCGCTCAGCCTTTCTACAACAGCATTCTGGAGAACATGAGGAGTGTCTACAAACCCGAGCTGATCAAAGGTGAGGCAGTAACTGTCTGACGTCATGACACGTCATTATCATCACACTCCTAGAGTAATTGTAAACCTCATTACTGTTGTTTATAATTACTGGCTGCAGGGGTCACTGTTTCCAAAATGAATAAAAATGAAAAGTGGTCTCATTTTTCAATAGTAACGTTAGCGTGGATATTGTAGACCCACCCCCACACCCCAGCTGTTTAATTGCCAATATTACCACTTTAGTGCAGCGGTGTGAGGGCAGTTAAGTGTTAGCGAGTTGTGGATTATTTGTGCTGTGATGCAGTGGCACTGACAGTGAATTAGGTCAGTCCACCTGGGAACAGGTGAGAACACCTCGTCCCAGCAAGAGAGGCCTACAGCTTCTAAATGACCCCGTCCCCCAGTTCCACACCCCTCACCACCACCACCACCACCACTATCATCAGCAGCAGCATCACCCAGTCTTAGCGGCAAACATGATGATGCAGCACTTTCCCAGTGTGGCCCGTTGCTACATTGTGCAGATGGTGTCATTAATCTCACCGACCCAGAGGAAGAGAGAACGTTAAAGTTGAAACCTCTTCTACTGCACTTGTTCCATCCTTGTCTCTTGGTCTTTACGGGCCTGTGAAAATCATCCAGTCGCACTTTGAACTTCTCTGCTGTAAACGATTGAAACACGGTAGCATTTTGATGTCTTCATATTTTCAATTTCCACTGCTCAAAACACAAACCTTCCTACTGGCTCTTCTGTCTTCAGATGGGAAGTTTGGAGCGTACATGCAGGTGCACATCCAAAACGATGGACCTGTGACCATTGAGCTGAGCTCCCCTGCTGCTCCCACGGACCCAAAACAGGTAATAATAATAATAATAGTAATAATACATTTTATTTCATAGGTGCCTTTCTGTCACCTAGGGACACCTTACAGTGAATACAAAGATAACAACACAGCATTAAAAAACAAAAAAACATTAATAACAAGTTAATATACAACAGTGGAATATCAGATGGAGGAGGCAATTTTAAACAGATGAGTTTTAAGTGCAGACTTGAATTGTGGGAGTGAATGATGGTATGGTATAATAATAATATAATACTATTATAATATTATATTATTATATATGATAATAATATATAATATAATAATGGTAGGGTGCTGTGGATAATAAGTGGATCCACACTGCGTTTGCACCTGTTCATGCAGCAGACTTTTGTCCTGTTAAAAACACTTGAGCCATAATACTGTAGAAGCTGGTGTCATTTTTATTTCCGACCACTAGGTGGCAATGATTGCGTTGGTATGTTTTTGGTCGAGTGACTGTCGATGTCACTCATGTCATGGTATAAAAAAACACAAAACAACAACAACAACTAAAATAGTTACATCGAAAGCAATTGGACAAAGTCGTTTTTTTTGTTTTTTTTTTTAAGACCTTGCGCCTCTCATCCAACAGTCTTCTTCAATTCCTCTACAAACCTACTGTGTCCATTTGCTTTCGATGTAACTATCTTTTGGATTAAATGGCCTGGATGACTGAGAACCTACATAGACACAACAATAACTAAACTGACAGGTAATAGTTAGACAGTGCTGTTCATTTTTGCCCTGTATAATTTGTCTATACAGTTCATATACAGTTGGTTAGTTTTTATTAATGAATAAAAATAGTCCAGACCAGTGAGAAGAATGTTCTGTCGGTTGGGTGGGTGTCAAACATTTGCACTGACTGTGTATGTTCCAGTGACAGAATTCTGTCAGTCCATTTTCTGCAGCAGTAGATAACTGCTGACACCTACACAGGCCACGAGTGCACAGGCATATCAAGCAGCCCTCGGAATGAACATCTGGTCCATGTGCGATGTTTTGCTTTTGGAGGCTGGACATGAGGGAATATAAAGGGCAGCCAGTGGACCAGGCCTGGAGACATGAGGGATCTGGATCCACTGCAGGGTCAGACTGCCTACAAACCACAGCGTGGAGTAGAGGAGTGAGGCCGCTGCTGATTGTTCACCGTGGTGTTGTGTTTTGTGGTCACTGGGTTAAATCCACCACGTCTGGTCACGTGTTCAATCAGATCCTCATTTGACTTTGAGAGGAAAATGTTGATTATTGTTTGGTTTCTCTGTGTCCACATGTTGAGCACATGTGACTTTGTTGGTCTCTCATCATCATCAGAGTCTGAAGATGAGACTAACTGTGGGATTTTCAGGATGTTCTCTCAGCCATCATTGTTGTTGTGTTCAAATGTCCACTACAATATGATGACAGCTCGTTTTTTTTAATGTAAGTCTGTTTTTGGATGTCGGTTTAGCCGGACTTTCTGACCACTGTGCACTTCTTTGATCTGTATAGAAAACAATGGAGAGAATGTGAAGTGTGTTTGGTTGGAGTGTCAGAGTGTGTGTGTGTGTGTGGTTGAGTCAGTGAGAGGCAGCGTGTGCTGTCACAACAATAAACCCATTGAAGTGATCATGTGACCTGTCAGAGTGAGGAGCAGAGTAGAACTGTCTCAGCTATCAGCTGTGGAGTGTTGATGTGGGCCACTCAAGTCTCCTAAGTCTCTTTATTTCATTAATTATGTTAATTATGGTGATGAGCCATCGGGCTGATCACAATCTATGTGTATATCTATATATACACATACATACAGTATATGTGTGTATGTACATGTATATGTGTGTATGTACATGTATATGTGTGTATGTACATGTATATGTGTGTATGTACATGTATATGTGTGTATGTACATGTATATGTGTGTATGTACATGTATATGTGTGTATGTACATGTATATGTGTGTATGTACATGTATATGTGTGTATGTACATGTATATGTGTGTATGTACATGTATATGTGTGTATGTACATGTATATGTGTGTATGTACATGTATATGTGTGTATGTACATGTATATGTGTGTATGTACATGTATATGTGTGTATGTACATGTATATGTGTGTATGTACATGTATATGTGTGTATGTACATGTATATGTGTGTATGTACATGTATATGTGTGTATGTACATGTATATGTGTGTATGTACATGTATATGTGTGTATGTACATGTATATGTGTGTATGTACATGTATATGTGTGTATGTACATGTATATGTGTGTATGTACATGTATATGTGTGTATGTACATGTATATGTGTGTATGTACATGTATATGTGTGTATGTACATGTATATGTGTGTATGTACATGTATATGTGTGTATGTACATGTATATGTGTGTATGTACATGTATATGTGTGTATGTACATGTATATGTGTGTATGTACATGTATATGTGTGTATGTACATGTATATGTGTGTATGTACATGTATATGTGTGTATGTACATGTATATGTGTGTATGTACATGTATATGTGTGTATGTACATGTATATGTGTGTATGTACATGTATATGTGTGTATGTACATGTATATGTGTGTATGTACATGTATATGTGTGTATGTACATGTATATGTGTGTATGTACATGTATATGTGTGTATGTACATGTATATGTGTGTATGTACATGTATATGTGTGTATGTACATGTATATGTGTGTATGTACATGTATATGTGTGTATGTACATGTATATGTGTGTATGTACATGTATATGTGTGTATGTACATGTATATGTGTGTATGTACATGTATATGTGTGTATGTACATGTATATGTGTGTATGTACATGTATATGTGTGTATGTACATGTATATGTGTGTATGTACATGTATATGTGTGTATGTACATGTATATGTGTGTATGTACATGTATATGTGTGTATGTACATGTATATGTGTGTATGTACATGTATATGTGTGTATGTACATGTATATGTGTGTATGTACATGTATATGTGTGTATGTACATGTATACTATTTAGTAAATACTCTACTAACCCCCATTTCTGCTGATTTGCCTTTTTGGAGGAATTTACATCAAACTTCTAAAATGCCAACTCTCCATCGGTTGCAGCAGACAACAGTTACATTTCCGTTTTTTTCCCCAAGCTGTCAAAGCAAGAGAAGCAGCAGCAGAGGAAAGAGAAGACACGCTCCAAAGGCCCTTCAGAATCCGGCAAGGAGAAGGGATTAGTGCGTTCCCGACCGGACCCAAACGCCAGCAGTGGAGCCGAGGGAGACGTGTCGTCAGAGAGGGAATCCTAGGTTAACAGGTTTCAGTGGCTACAGACAGTGAAATAGACAATAAAGTATGTCATTGTCTTTGAAGAACACATGGAACTGTCCAACAGGAGTTTGCTCCAAGTTGATTTGCAAACACAAGACAACAGCTGATTGGTAAAATAACTTCACTTTTTTTTTTACAGAGCCACTGATATGAAACCAGCTTCCTCAGGATGGTTGGAATTCTCACCGGCTGTTTCCTGATTGTGAACTTGTCTATGTGGAAATTAGCAGAATCGGGACCTTGTGTCCTGTCCCTGGTGTTGGTGGACACAGCTTTAAGCACTGAACACACCTGCTGAAGTACAAACCAAGGGGGCGACAGAACGAGGGGTGGAACTGTCAGCGAGCACCCTCGAAACATGAGGGATTTGTACTGAAACCAAAATTAGGAGCACTATGTTTACAGGCACCTTTAGCTTTTTTTTCTCTTTATTTGCCCTCCTTGTCTTTTACCTGCTGTCTTCCTCCACCTCTCTCTGTCTACATGCTCCTGACACCCCCCAGAGGACGAGAGTTTTAATCATGGTTTGGTAAAAGTTAAACACCTTGGATAAAATGCTTCAAAATGGCAACTGTGTTTTTGTTTTTGCTGCTCAAATGATTTGAATGGTTTAAGGATTCTGATTTGCCTTTTTACTCTTCCACCAAAAAAATATTTATTCACTGTCACACAGTTTTGCAAAAGCTCAATAAAACACTTTTATTAATAGTTCATGGATATAAGGCAGAATTAATAACGTTCTTAGATCTAGTACTTATCCTGCAGGGGGTGCTATGAACACACTGTAAAAATGAAGTAGTGCTTCAACTGGTACTTCAGAGACCCCCCCCACACACACACACACACACACACAGCAGAGCAGCTGTTTCACATTTTCTACATTTGTTCTACCTTCGTTCACACAGTACCACCAACGGTACGTGCACCTTAGTTTGAGAACCACTGAAAGATCCAATTCTACCATGGCTGATATCTAAACTGAGTTTCTTCTGAAACCCGGTGGGGGGAAAACAGGAAATGTTCTAGTCTCTGGTTCGTCTATTTATGTCTTTGGAAAGGTGTAAATCCTGGCTCTGTTCATTTGTGCTCCTCAAACGTCTCTGTTTAATGAATCAGCCAGGCATATGTGCCCTGCTTTATTCTACACTCTCAGTAAATCAAGCCCTGGAAAGAGTACTAAGAACATTGTAATTTGAAAATTAAAAGAAAATGTATCCAATAGTCGCCCTCTAGTGGCTCACAATAGGATGTTTCCTGTCCTGTCAGTCTTGGAGAATTCCGACAGAGGTTCACGTTGAACTCTGTCCCCTTCTGATCCGACAGTTGTAAATCTAAATTTCGTTGTTGTTCAGTGGACGCGTTCAAGCGAAAACGGTTGTTCACGCCACATTTGTCCGGGCTGTTATTTTTCACCGTTCACTGTGTTTGTTTGATGTGACGCAAAACAAGGCAACAGTTCTTGTCCTTGTTTCTCTTTTCAGCATCACCACCTGGATCTTCACTTCTGTCCCAGCTTCAGCGCTTTTTATAGTTCAGGCATGTTTTCTGTCCAGCCAACCAAAGCATATCTCACACACACACCCTCTCTCTCATTGGTGCTGCTGTCTGATGTTTGTCCACAGTATGGAGAGCCCACAGAAGAGCTGCTGGAGCCCAGACTCCATCGCTCTGAGAGAAGACATGACCCAGATATGTCTGCCTGTGACGCCAGCCTGGGTACAGATATTTCTCCTTCCGTTTTGTATCGGAAACAACTGAAATCCTCACCTCTGGAACAGACGCCGGTGCTTTAAAAGTCAGTCAGGAAACATCTTGGAGTAGGTCTGGTAAAGAATCTCCTAGTTTTTTTTTATGACAACACAAATGTCCAGAACTGACGGTTGAGTCCATCTCTGCTGCCTGGATGTAAAGTTCCACCTGCTAGGTGGAACTTTTAAAGGAACAGGGCCTTGGATTTCCTGGGAGTCCAGGAAAAGTTTGAAATGTTTTGTACTTCTGATTTCAAAGTGTTTTTTTTTTTTTTTTGTCAGAATCTTTGCCTGCATGCCTCGGACAGATGGTCTACAGTGAAGGCCAAAAAGGTCAACGATCCTGAGAACTTGATGGAACTTTTGTCGTGCACCGGAGAACTTTTTTTAAATTTTTATTTAATTACGCTGATGTTGTTTGAAGTTGAGTGATGTTTAAAAAACTAGAAAACCTTCTTTCTTTTCTTTTTTCTTTTATTAGGATATATAAGGCTTGGCAGTGACCATGTGCAGACTCATACTCCCTGCTCCATACACACCTGATCTCTGCAACAGTGAGTGTACGCTGTGGGTTTGTTTCCGTGAGATAGAGTGGTTAGTAACTTGGTGTTATCCCTGCCTTCACCCAGGGTTGTCTCCAGTCTGACGGACTCCTAGGATCAGAACATACTGTACGGTGTTAAAACTGCAAAACAACAATAACTTTCTGCCAGTCTGTGCTGAGAACCTGCAGTGGGAGATGGTGGGCGGAGCCTAACTGGAGCAGCACATCTGAAAGCACTGCACTACATGGAAGCTGTGCAGGGCCGATTCGAGGCAGATGTTCACATTCACGTGCAGCTTTCCAAACAAACATGGGAACTTGTGTGTGGTCATTGAGAGTGGGAGGGGGCGCCGTGTACACTCGGACATGGGAAAGTGGGTTAAATTCCAGAAATTCTCCCCCATCTGAGGCCACACTGTTGCATAAAGCGGTCTCTACAACTTATCTTACATCGTTTGTGTGTGTGTGTGTCCTTTGCCAACCCCACTGGCTATGGAAAAACAATTTAACTGGATTTAATTTGCTGCCCCCTCCCTGCCTCCTCCCCCCCTCGCTCCCCTCACTTTCTTCTTTTGTGTGCCTCTGAGAGGTTGGGAATTCGTCTTGCTCCCTAACTCCTCGCCCAGTTCTAGCTGGCTCTGCGCTTTCGACAGGCCAAGGTTGAAGGCAGCTTTAAGGCCTCGGGTCACGTGTGCCGTACCACTGCAGTCTGCCGCCGCGTTGTGACACTTAAACATAAGAAGAGTGTTCTTGTAATTTGGGGGGGGAAAGCTCACACCCGGTACATAAACTGGGATTATTGCCGTGTGGAATAAAACCCCTCGTCTCTGCCTGACATTTTTGTCCTTATGTCGGTCCCGTCCTCGTCCTCTGTTTGATCCATATTTAAGTCCCTGAACTCTAAAGGGTTAAAATGCACAATAAAGGCAGTTGCCTAGAGCTCCACCACTTTTTCCATGCTTGCTGGGAAGTTTCCAGTGCTATTTATATAAAACCTCAGGCCTGATTATCAAGAAACCCACTTGGCCATGATGAAGTATTTGACATCATCGTAGAGTTGAGATCCAGTCGAACCGTCTGAACTGAACTGGGATTATTATGACACACGTGCAGCGTGTTAGCATGGACACGCGCACACACACACACACGTTCATGTGAACTGCTGTGTTTTTACAGTCTTGTTTACTTCATGAAGATGGTTTCTCAGTCGGTTTACGACCAAACAAACCGAGATGCTTTGGTTCATTCATAAAAAGATGGTTTTGGTCGGTGGAAATATTAACCAAGTTCCCACCCTACCTTTTTTTATCAGGAGACTTGATTTGTTCACAGGGCTTTTTTTACAGTGGAATGTGTGTTTTTGAAGGTACTGTGTGAAAGTTACAGTGGCTGCACTGACCAGGACTCTGATCAGTCCATGTAGGTCAGCACAACGTGGCAATGAGGTAGTGTGAAAAAGTGAATTAAGCTAAATGGAACACGCCCGCCACCCATTTGACTTTTTTTTTTCAACCCATTCTCCTCATAACTTTTATGATGTATACTGTATATATTTATGTGTGTATATGTGTATATATACTCTATGTATATATGTGTATATATACTATATATAGAAGAGGAATTATTGTATGTGTTTATTTGTTTCTCTCTAACAGTCGCAGAAGCTAAGGTGACTGCACACTCCGAGTCTGAATCTGCTGGAGATCTGCTTATTTCTGTGTGTGTGTTACAGAGTTTCCTTGGAGGGATTTTATTTCCATGTCCGTTCACTAAAGTCCATCAAGGTAAAATGTGTTTCCTGAATTTAGACTCCAAGCTCCAACCTGTGTTCATGCAATGTTCTGCTGATCTCTCTCTCTCTCACACACACACACACACACACGTCACTGGATGCCTTGTTGGTTGCCTCTGTGTTGTCTCTAATCACTCTCCTTCTACATCGTCAGGACTTGCTTGGGGATTGGTCCTTGAACCCCCAGCTGTCCACCAACCTCGCCATGCCAACGGACCTCCACCTGTTTCAACTGCGTCTGCTGCTTTGAGTTGAGTTCCATTCAGTACTTACTGCAGCGTTGTCTTTATGAGGCCACATCTCCGTTTATTTTACTTCTCTGGACATCAGTTTTGTAAGTAACAGCTCTGTTTACTGTCCAGGAGTCATAGACATAATCATCAACCTGAACCAGGAGAAAAACACAGACAAACCACACACAAAAAGGCGTTCTACCCTGGCCTGGATCAGTGAGCCTTTTCTGTGTAAGACATCAGGTGCAATCGGTTCTGCATAAACAGTATGTGTTGGAACAGTGTGAGGAAGCTGGAGAACACCAGCACTCCACACAGGAAGACCAGCACTTAGAGCTGGCCTATCCAAATAGCAGACCGGGGGTCACGACCTCAGAGTGGACCGCTGTGAGAAACTCGGAGAGTCCCAATTCAACTCAACACTCTCTGATGCCTGGCAAATCTGAAATATAATATCCACGGGATATGAAAATCTGGCCACACTAACGCTACACTGGACCAGCCCTGGGCGAGGGCCAGGAATCGAACTGGTGACCTCCTTGTAGTAAGGCACTTTAATCTCTCCGTATTTTTCACA